CATACATGCACTCCCTTAGGATAGGTTGAGGGAAAAGGGTAGCAAGTAAGAAGTAGGAAACATAGGTGGAGAGGCACACGCAGGGAGAAAGGTCCCCACTGGAACCTGAATTGGTGAGAGGTATAGGAGGAGTAGGTCTGTGGCTACATTCCACACTCCCGGGCCGGGCTAGGCGTTCTCTGCAACCTGTTACCCTCTAATAGAACCTCGAGAGGTCAGAGAGGGGAAAGGCTTGGATAAAGTTTTAAATATAAGATCTAAGTTTTTAGGATTTAAGTGAAAGAGTAAGAACTAAAATGTATAGGTGAAGAGGCACAACGTATCGTCAATGCACTCTTATTAGATTATTTTTGTATTACTATAAGCTTTATCAAAAAGGAAGGTCTTAAGCGTACTCTTAAAAACGGATAGGCTGTCTGCCGCCCGAACACAAACTCGAAGCTGATTCCACAAATGTGGAGCTTGATAAGAAAAGGCTCTGGCTCCCATTGGTATTATTGAAGAGTTACAAACATGTTTTTTTTCAGTTTGACATAGGCATCCCGTCTATGACCAAATGCTGTAACAAACATGACCGCTGCTACGACACCTGCGGCCTTGAGAAGCACGACTGCGACGAGCAGTTCCAAGACTGTCTGGAGACCATCTGCAGGAATGTGCAAAGGACTCTGGGATTGGCTCAGAGTGTCCAAGGTTAGAGGCTGAGCCCATCGGGGCTTGCCATTATACTTACTTTTGCTTCCCACATTCTCCTCCTGTGACCTGGAAATCTTTGGCTAAATTTCTTTTAGCTGCTTATGTTTCAGGGTCATAGTATTGTGAACGTTTGCTCAAGTGTTTTGGCTTACTGGGAAACTCTAATAGACCAGTGCCATCATTCCGTTTTTTTCAATTAAGTAGAACCTGTCATTTTTAAAATGTCTGATTTGAAAGAGGTTTATATGTTGTAATTTGTGCACTGTAACCTCACTTGAGATGGCTGTATTGAGCCAGGAGGAGTCACTTTTAGTTAGTAGGGCCAGGTTAACATTAGTTTTATTTTACATTCAACTACAAATATACATTTCTGCTTCAGTTCACGGATAGAAAGGGATGTGACAGTGCTTGTGCAAATGTATAAGCACTGTAAAACACATAATGACCAGCAGGGGGCGAAATAGAGCTACTTTTTAAACATTTAATTTGTATACTGTGATAACCATTTGTCTCGACGACGCTACTGTGATTGTGGATTTTGTTGTGAGGCATTTTAATCGCGTACTTAAAACTAAAGTTACGAATAACTGCAGTTTTAATCTACTACAAAATCTGTATTAGCCCAATAATTCCTTAGTAAGAGCACACTAAAATGTGTTTTATTCCCTTACAGCAACATGGTATCAGGTACTTGTTTTCACCCTTTTGTGTAGCTCATGTTCTGGTTTGTCTGCCCCTTAGCCTGTGAGTCAGCGGTGACTCTGCTGTTTGACGCTGTTATGCACCTGGGATGTAAGCCATACCTGGACAGCCAGAGGGACTCCTGTGTGTGTCAGTACGAAGTGAAGAAGGAGCTGTGACACTGGATCAACACTGTGGAAAGCACGACAGTGACAGAAGGAAACCAGCAATAAACTTTTATCTAAGATTTTCTCAGGGAGAGAGTTTCTATTGCCTGCACGGACTTGTGTCCATTACCTCCTTTTATAGATGTTTTGAATTGTAGACTATTAGACAAAGTGAAGTGGACAGTTAATGTCTTTCCTATTAAGCTAATTATTTATGTTTTGCTAATACTGTATAATGTGTTTATCTTGTGATAGACTGGAAACACTGTTTTGTGGGTTTATTAATCAAAATAACTCTTGAAGAAGTTTTGTGTTAAAACCAAATTATGTTTTCTCGCACTGATTATGGGTAAAAGAAAGACTGTGTCAATGCAACTTTTAAACTCTACACTACAACTAAACTACAATAACTGTCTCAGACCTTTGTTTTTATTTGCCCCTTAATGCAATGCAAACACAACATTCATTTTGATCCCAACTACACACCTGTAAATTGAAAAATCTGGTCCCGTTTCAGAAGCACTTTATGACATTGACACTCAAAAGGTGATAACCAACTGCAGCGTTGTTTTTGCTTCTTTTTTTTAAAACTAATGTGCTGGGAAATGCTGTTTTTTTTTTAAACTAATGTACCAGGAAATGTTTTACTCTGTAAGTGGAGGATGCAAAATCACCGCTACACCTAAAAACATTTGTTGGGTTTGTTCTTTTTGGGTGTGTCTACCAATAAACAAGAAAAAGAAGGTAAGGGGAATACACAATGTTATTCTCCTGTATGTAGCACTTGACTTGTATGGTGACGGATCGATGATGGATTGTGTCATTATATGTGTAGTAATATTAAGTCAGCCTCTTTTAAATC